CCCGCCGCCCCCGCCGCCCCCGCCCCCGTGCCCTCGCCTCACCTTGGAGCTGGAAGCGGCCGGGGCGCCCTGCGTGTCGGTAGAGCTCCCGCACCTGCCAGCAGATCCCGTCCCTGGGGTGCGGGGTGGGCAGAGGCACAGAAGTCTTGGGGGCCCCAAGCCCACGGGCCATTCAGGTCACCGGCCAGCGCCCCACAGAAGTGGGGTCAGGCCAGACCGGGTGCGGGCAGGGAGGGTGGGGGGCCGTTGTGGGGGGACTCACAACTTCCGGAAGGTGCTGACGGCCATGTCTGAGCCCTGGGGAGTCACCTGCAGCGCAGTGGCCTCAGCCCGGTGACCGGGCTCCCAGAGGTTGCGGCATGAGGAGGCCACGGCCACGAGGAACCATGTCCCTGCAAACTGGGTGCAGGACGCGTGAGGGCGCGGGCCGCTGGGCCTGACTCCGCAAAACCGGCCGCGGCGCCCCTCCCCCAAGCCTACCTGCTGGGCATCAAAGTCGGCCTTGGGCTGGACGGCGCTGATGGGTGACTGGGGCTGGGGGGGCCGCGGGGGCCGGAGAGCCCACTGGCCCAAGGACCCAGGGGCCAGGAGCAGAGTCAAGAGGAGCACAGCCCTGCGGGGCAGCATGGTGGGGGCAGCGGCAGTGAGGAGCGGAGAGGGTGAGGACAGGGTGGCCCCGGCCAGGGTCAGAGTCCACTGGCCAGCGCCATCCAGGCGCCCAGCCCAGGAAGTGCGTGGCCATCTCCCCGCCTTCCAGGCTGACCCCCCGTGGGCCGTGGCGCCCTGCACCCCGTGGGGGCCCTGGACCCGGCCTCGCCTGCACTTCCCGGCAGGGCTCTGGCACCTCCTCTTGTGTGCAGAGCTGGGAGTGACCTCTGGCCGCACTCGGGATTGCCCATCTGCCCAGGGCGCGGCCTTGGCTCCTCTGCACCCTTATACCGCATTAGTTCTTTCAGCAAGAACCGGGCTTCTCCCCGCAGTCAAGAGCACTGTGGTTCTGCGGCCTCTGGCTCAGGGAGCAAAGACCCTGAGGGCCTGAGCCAGGTCTCGAACCGAGGGCACAGCCGCGCCCGAAGCCCCGCC